GAACGGCCCGTTCTGAAACCGGAACGAGACGTTCTGGGTGCATTTTTGGTGTGTTAATTTTGCACCTGGAACGGGCCGTTTCAAATGCAAAATTAACACACCAAAAGTGCACACAGAACGGACCAAAATCCTATGAAATCCTAAACCAATACACCCCCCTAAAATTTAGGAATATTTTAAAGTCTTATTGAACAACCAAAGACTTTAACTATTAGTTACTGCAAGAATAAATAAAAATCTCTCATTTGCACTTTTTTCATGTTTTTGCTTAAGTGATTTATTTTATATTGCTTACCATTCACTTGGGGAATCAATCATGCTCCATGAGAACTCATAATAATATCACTATTAGAACCAAACTTATTCTCACCCTATATGTATATTGTTGTAGACAGCAAACACAAAAGAATAACACTTGTAATCACACACACAGAGTAATTGAGTGTTAGGGAATTGAGAGAGAAGAATGTATTCAATAGTATATTATTACATAAAGTTTACATCCTTATATATCTATTATATTGCAACTAACAATTGCCAAACCGTTTATAACAGTAACAACAACAAACTAACAATATATGGACTAATGAAACTGAATTACTATTACAACACTCCCCCTTAATTCAGCTTCCCTATGCACTTGACCCCAAGCTTATTTCTTAGCTCTTCAAACCTTTCCTTTTTCAACGGTTTGGTCAGAATGTCTGCAATTTGGCTCTCAGATCTGCAGAACTCAAGTTTCAACTTTCTTTTACTTATTTGGTCCCTTAGGAAGTGGAATCGGGTCTCAATGTGTTTACTTCTACCATGTGCTACTGGATTTTTAGCCAGATTTATTGATGATTTGTTATCCACCATTAACAGCATCCCTTCCTCAGTCTCTATCTTCAATTCTTCAAGCAAAGTTTCCAGCCATAAAGCTTGACAGGCACCCATACTAGCTGCTATATACTCAGCCTCACATGAAGACAAAGGCACAACAGATTGCTTTCTTGAGCACCAAGAAATTGGAGCATCTCCAAGCATGAATACATAGCCTGTGGTGCTTTTCCTGTCAGCTTTATCTCCACACCAATCAGCATCAGAGTATCCAACCATATTGTGATTAGGACAGCTAAATTTATTAGGAAACATCAGTCCATAACCAATTGTTCCCTTAGCATACCTGAGCAACCTCTTAACAGCAAGCAAATGAAATTGCTTTGGTGTCTCCATATATCTGCTCACAAGCCCTACTCCATATGCAATATCAGGCCTCGTATTGCAGACATATCTCAGAGATCCTACCATTTGCCTATATAAAGTCTTGTCCACCATTTGATCTCCCTCAGACTTGTCAAGTGTATTTCCAGTATCAACAGGTGTTGAAACTGGATTGCAGTTCAGCATCTGAAACCTTTCCAACACATCTGTAGTATATTTGCTTTGATGCATAAAAATTCCACCTTTAGTTTCCTTGAACTCTATTCCAAGAAAATAAGAGAGTTTTCCCAAGTCATTCATTTCAAATTCAGCCTTCATATCCTGCTTGAATGCATCAATTTCTTTAGCTTTGCTTCCTGTTACTAATAGGTCATCAACATATAAACATACTATTAGCAAGTCAGTCATATTCAGCCCCTTTGTGTACACACCGTATTCAGTAGTGCATTTCACAAATCCAAGTTGCAGTAAGAAGCTATCAATTCTTTTATTCCAGGCTCTTGGAGCTTGCTTCAGGCCATATAAGGCTTTATGCAATCTATACACCTGTTTTTTCTTGCCTTTAATTTCAAACCCAGGTGGTTGTGACACAAATACTTCCTCCTCTAGTGGCCCATTCAAGAAGGCAGATTTGACATCCATTTGGTGTATTGGCCAACAGTGATAGCTTGCCATAGAAACCACTAGTCTTATGGTTTCTAATCTTGCAACCGGGGCAAAAACTTCATCATAGTCCAAGCCTTGTCTCTGCAAGAAACCTTTTGCAACTAGCCTGGCCTTGTATTTGGCTACCTCACCCTTTGAATTTAATTTCACTTTATACACCCATCTCACAGTAATTGCTTTCTTCCCCATTGGCAGTGGAGTAAGTTTCCAAGTCTGATTCTTCTCAATTGACCTCAGCTCTTCTCTCATGGCTTCCATCCAATGTGTCTCCTTCACTGCTTCCTCAAAGCTCACTGGTTCCATCTCTGCTGACAAAGCCATGTGAACCAAGTCACCTTCAGTTGTGACTTGTGAGTCTAGAAAGACCTCATAGTCGCTCAATCTTTGTGGAGTTTGTCTCATTCTTTGAGGTCTTTTTCCATTATGAATTTCTGCCTCTGGTTGTTGCTCAATGTCCTCATCAAGATGTATTATTGTTTGTCTTCCTAGATCATCACTTCTATCATTCCAATCCCATTGTTGAGTTTCATCAATCTTCAAGTCTCTGCAAAGCATCATTTTTTGAGTTAGAGGATTGTAGACTTTATACGCACCTGTAGAATGATATCCAAGCAGAATCAACTTTTCACCCCTATCATCCAGTTTCTTTCTGTGCACATCAGGGACATGCTTGTAGCAAATGGAGCCAAAGATTCTAAGGTGACTAACATCTGGTTTCAAGCCTGACCATGCTTCTTCAGGAGTGATTTCATCAAGTCTCCTTGCAGGGCACCTATTCAGAATGTAAATAGCTGTTGAGACAGCTTCACCCCAAAACCTTTTGGGCAATTTCTTGGTCTTTAACATGCTTCTGGCCATGTTTAAGATTGTCCTATTCTCTCTTTCTGTAGTACCATTGTGTTGTGGAGTGTAGGGTGCTATTACCTCATGAATCAGCCCCTCTTTATTACAATAATCTTCCCACTCAGCAGAATTGTATTCTCCACCCCCATCAGTCCTGAGTGATTTCAGTTTCTGTTCACTTTGCCTCTCCACCCGTGCTTTGAAGCTAAGAAAAGTAGCAAACACGTCACTCTTCCTCTTGATTAGGTAAATCCAAGTCTTCCTTGTGAAGTCGTCTATGAAGGTCACAAAATACCTATTACCGCCTAATGAGTTCACCTCAAAAGGACCACAAACATCTGAGTATACTATCTCAAGTGCTTTGACTGACTTGGTAGGAACATGAGCCACAAATGAGTTCCTAGTCTGCTTACTTGTAAGGCATTCACTGCACAACTCATTAGGGGTTTTAATAGTAGGCAATCCAGTCACAATACCAATTTTACTAAGCATTTCAAGACTCTTGAAATTCAAATGACCATACCTTTGGTGCCATGTCCAGCTTTCATGAGCAACTCTGGACACTAAGCATTGATTTCCATCCACCTGAATTCCAACCTTGAAAGTTCTATTGCTAGATAGTGGAGCTTTCAATATCAATTTGTCGTTAACATCAAAAACCTTCAACACTTTATCTTTAAATGTCATTGTATAGCCTTTTTCCAGCAATTGACCGAGACTTAGCAAGTTACTCTTCATCTTAGGAACATACAATACATTGGAAATGTATGAGTGTTTGCCATCTTTCCTCTGAATTGAAATCTTTCCTATTCCCTCTGCGAACTATGATCTGCGAATTTCTCTTTGCTCTTAGTAGTCTCATCAAGGCTCACGAACCACTCTTTGTGTCCAGTCATATGATTGGAGCACCCAGTATCAAGATACCAACAATCATTCTTGTCATGCTCTTCTTTGGTTGTGACCATGAGCAACACTTGTTCCTCTTCTGACTCCTCTCCCTGTGCCATTCTTGCTTCAGCATCCTTTCCGCCATTCCCAAAATTGAACCTGCACTCAGATGCAAAGTGGCCATAGTTTCTGCAATTGAAACATTGTACCTTTTTTCTATCAAATTTCTTCTTGTTCTTTCTGAATGAGGACGTTGAACTCGGGTCTTGATTGACTCCTTCGTAATGCTTTCCTTTATCATTTTTCAATTTGCCTTTTCCTTTTCTTTGCATGTTCCCCTGTTTAGAGGATCTTTTGCTTGATTGGGCCTGTAGAGCTTGATCAGAATTCTTGTCAGGATTCCTCTCCTTAATCCTCTGTTCATGTGCCTCTAAGGAACTCTGCAGTTCATCAATCTTGAAGGACTCAAGATCCTTTGACTCCTCTATTGCAACCACAATATGATCAAATTTGGAAGTTAATGTTCGAAGCACTTTCTCAACCACCAATTGATCCTTTATTGCTTCTCCGCATCCTTTCATTTGTTTTGTTAAGGATCGAATCTTGGTGAAGTAACCAGAGATGGTGTCACTATCCTCCATCTGCATAAGTTCATATTGCCTTCGCATCGTCTGGAGCTTCACCTTCTTGATTTTTTCAGCTCCTTCATAGCTTTTCTCCAAGCTATCCCAGGCCTCCTTGGCATTTGCCGCACCAGAAATCTTCTCAAAGTTCGCATCATCGACACACTGATGAATCAAGAACAATGCCTTACAATCCTTCTTCTTGGATTCTTTGAATATGGACTTCTGGGCATCAGTCGCTTCGTCTCCAACAACTTGATAGCCATCGTGCACAACTTCATAGACCTCCTGGAAACCAAATATCGCATTCATTTGGATACGCCACCTATCATAGTTCTTGTCATTCAGAATCGGTAGTGACATAGTGAACCCACCGTTACTGGTCATGATTTTCAGTCAACACATACACTCTCTCTCTCTCTCTCTTTCTTTTCCTCTCACAGGTTCAGGATCAGGAACCTTGCTCTCGATACCACTGTTGTAGACACCAAACACAAAAGAATAACACTTGTAATCACACACACAGAGTAATTGAGTGTCAGGGAATTGAGAGAGAAGAATGTATTCAATAGTATATTATTACAGAAAGTTTACATCCTTATATATCCATTATATTGCAACTAACAATTGCCAAACCGTTTATAACAGTAACAACAATAAACTAACAGTATATGGACTAATGAAACTGAATTACTATTACAACATATATGTGTTGATGCATGGTATGCTCATGAAACAATATATATTTACGTCAAAATCTTGAAACAATGTAGAAGCAATAATTAAACCCTTCAATTAATACACGTTATGTATGCCAATAATATTTTTTTATCAGAGAAAAAAAAAACTTGCATTGCTATATGCTACAAACGGCTACCAAAATCCTTTTACAAATAGCATGTATAAATGTAAAAACCTAGTTATTTTATATTTATATTTATACCATTTGCAAGTAGTATAAATGCAAAGTTATTAAAATTATAAAAGATACAAGTACTTAAGTATTTATATCTTGATATAAATAGTATTCTTACCCATAATAATATTAGATTTTTTATCATGTAGCATTCTTGAAAGATGTTTTTTGTTGTCAAAGATAACAAATTAAATGCAAATCAAAATTATAAAATTTTCTTATCACACAGTGCTCTTCATCCACAGGATCTCACTTGATATATCTTTTGATCCTTAATTTATTCATATCATTCACTTTCATTCAACAATTATCGAAGAGTACATCCGTGTATTCTTAACCCAGTATAGGAATAAATGGTCCATATTTTTTATTAGGTCTTTCATCCACATCCAAGTATAATACTTGACTTCATCAAGTATTTTTTTCTTAGTCAATCATCCCTCCTTTAAATATATAATTATTCTTATGTAGCCATAGACACTATACCACACCATATAACTCTCGATTTATCAATGCAGACTTTTGAACCTGACTTTGGCATATGTTGCCAAAAGTGAGCTTTTGGACAATGCTGACAATATAATTTTTTCATTCAACCAAGAATAGCAAATCATCTATATCTCATAGACTTTTTCACAAAAGAAGATGTGAAATTGTTTCTTCTTTCTCTTTACAAAAATGGCAAAGTGTTTCAATAACATTTAAATTAATTTCTCTTCTTGTTAAATTATCCCCGATGAACAATCTATTTAAGAACATTCTCTAGACAAAAAAAAAGTCACCTTTAGAAGTATTTTTAAGATCCACACTAATTTTAATAATTGATCCTCCTGACATCTCACATCTTCTCTATGCAATGTCTTTTAAGTTAGAGTCATAATAAATATACTATTAAAATTCTCTAATATTAATATATAATTATATATGCCAATATATTTACATCAAAACCCATAAACAATACATAAGCCACAATGAAATCCTGTAATATTAATAGATGTTAGAATTACCTAATACTAAACTAAATACATTATAAATTAAAAATGTTTTTTTTTATCCATGAAAAATGAAACTCAATACTATAAAATTTATAATAATTCGCACACTTTACTAAATCAATAGACCCTTAGAGCACAAACCATATTTATAATCCAACCAAATATATAATAAAGTAGTTAATAAAATCGGTTGAAGAGTAGAATTAAATTCAGATATTGTATTTTCAAAAAATTATTTTTCTCATACTAGTTTTGCATGTTTATTTCATACTTTGATCTAATTTTTTCCACCATATTACTTATAATGTTTTATTTTTAGCTATTTTGAATCTATAAGGGATATATTTAAGAGTTATTTTAACTTAAAATCACTTCAATTTGCGTGGTAGCAGAAATATTAATGCAATTTTGTCCATCTCTATAAATGAGATGATAGAAACTTAAAAAGAGTTTGAATAATAATTGTTTCACACTTTAGGAAAGGCGTGAGATGGACAGAAAAAAAAGGGGGAAACAAAACACAAATAATATAATAAGATGAAAAAAAAGAGTTTAGAGGAGAATTATGCAAATTACGATCCTTTCTTATATTAGTGTTTATGAAATATTGAAATTGTAGGCAGTTGCACAAGTGTGCGAGTAGCTGTTCCTCAGTGTCTGCTTTACAAGGTAATTGGATCCAATCCCTCTCTCTTAATTCTATGTTCTGCGTTGACTATAATTCATGCCTATCCTAGGGTTTCTCATCCCGCTTTGTAATTTCATCATGAATCGCATACTGTTTAGATGTCAGTTTAGGGATCAATTCGCGAAACTAAATCTCAATATCGGATTTCGCAATCCGAATCTATGTTGGAAACGACGTAGTAGGATACGTAATGCTGAAACTCCGCTTAGTGCACTGCATCATGATTATACTTGAAACCACAAATCGATGACCTCAAAAGAAATATCCCATCGTTGCTTCACTTGAATCATGGAAATTGAAAATATTGGACTTTGGACACTATACCTGCATTTTTGGTGTGATAATTTGGTTTAGGTTCAAACAATGTATACACCTATGTTTATGTAGCATTTATATGTTGATGCCTTTCGGTTTTATAATTGTTTGTTGTGTCTTGGCAAGTCAGCGTTCTGCCAACTTTTGCAATGGAAGCAGAGTTGGATACCGAGCAGCAGCAGATGATGGATGGAAGTTATTCCCAAACTATGCGAATTGATCCGAAAAGGGCTCGATTTCCATGCTCTGTTGTGTGGTCACCACTTCCTGTGATCTCGTGGTTCATTCCTTGCATTGGTCATATTGGAATCTGCAGAGAGGATGGAGTGATATTGGATTTTGCAGGGCCTAATTTTGTGTGTGTGGACAATTTTGCGTTTGGATCTGCCACTCGCTATCTTCAAATTCCCAAAGAAAAGGTATATGCTACTATTTATTGATTTTTTCCCCTCTTTGTGGGAAGTGAACTCACAAAAGGTTTGCTTCCCCTTAGAAAACAAATTGTCCTAAACTAAAGTTGGGACAAATCAAGAAACATAAAGGAGACTGTAGTCTAAATGAGACTCTTGTTTCTTTGCCAAACAACTTCGAGTCTGTAACTTTCTCGTGTTTTTATTTCTTCATCATGCTGTGATATACTAAATGGAGCTGTGAAGAGTTATATTTCAAAGGAACTTGATTTGGCCAAGTTTTTAGCCCATAGTTTTCTGTTCATCTATTGCTTCTCTAACGTTGTTTAAAATATCTGCTTGGCAGTGTTGCATCCCTTTAGGCCAGTCTGCGTACAATGGTGAGGAGCACTACATGCAGGGTGAAACTAGAGATGACTTGAGGACTTGGGATGATGGACTAAGGAAGAGCACTCAAGAATTTCAACATCGATCTTACAATCTCTTTACCTGCAACTGCCACTCGTTTGTTGCCAATAATTTAAACAGGTTGGGTTTCCTGTCTGGTGGATGGAATGTGGTGAACCTTGCAATTTTCATTTTATTCAATGGACGTTGGGTCAGCAAAGCATCTATGCTTCGATCTATCTTGCCATTTGTGGTTGTATTTTTTCTTGGAGTCACATTTGGGGGCTTCACTTTCCTAAAGTTTTGGTTCTTCTTCATTGTCATTCTTATTGGGTGGTTCCTTCTTGGTACTTATTGTTTCAAGAACCTGATTCAGTTGTAGTGTCTGTTTCTCTCTGTCTACTTTGTATAAGACTGTAATACATCTGAAGTTGGTGAAACATAATCAATTAACCATATACACTGTATTCAGATAAGTTTTGTTGTCAAAGGCTTGTTGCTTCACTAGGACTTGTTCTTGTGGTATCATTTGTTAGATAATGTGGCATGCAGCAGCATCTTTGGCCCACGTCTCTGTAACAAATCAAGGTTGGTATATATGGATTTTGATTGGGCTTATTTGATTGTTTATTTGTTTAAACAATAAAGTTACTAAATTTCACGGGCATGAAAAAACACGGTGCAGAATAGTGTAGATAATTAACAGAATCAACTTAAATTAGTTTGAGTTTTTTTATTATTGATAAATCAAGGTATTTTTAGTCGAATGTCAAGGACTAATTTAAGGTACTGAGATTTATTTAAGTTGATCTTTTTTAACAAATATTTTTATATACACATAGATAAATAATCGAATTTTTTATTACATGTTTAAGGGACAATGTTATTTATTAATTATATCACAACTTATTAGTTATTATTTTGAATTTTGATTTGATAATTTTTTTGTTAATTTTATTTTGTTATTTTGTATGAAGTAAATCAATAAATATATGTAACATAATCATAATTTTAAATTGAATAAGTTAATAATGTAAATCAAGTTCTTTTTTGAGCTTGAATCAAATTAAGTTTAAACTTTTAAAAAAGTTTATTTTAAATTTGAAATGAGTTTTAAGTTGGGTTGAACAAAGTTTACTCAAATCATTTTAAAAGATCTTCCACAAAAAAAAAAAATGCTTCACCTTCTTGCTGGTATACAAGACCGTGTACACTCTATGACGCTCAGGATATCCATCATCTTTTCTTCTAGTCCATCTATTTTTACTTAATAAAAAATTTAAAAAAATTACTGATTAACAAGAACATGACCGTGTGTGAAATACAATTTTGATAGTCTTATTTATTTTTTTGAAGAAATTCTTTTAAAGCAATGTGTAACTAGGGATGGCAACAGGGCCCATGGGAGCGGGTAATAGTAAACCCGTTCTCGTTCAGCTGAATGAAAATTGGTCTCATACCCATCCCATATCTATGCGGGTATTCATTAAGCGGGTATCCATGAATTTCTTGAATACCCACAGATATCCATGGATATTCATGGATATTTATAAATTTTTTAAGAAATTAAAAAAACTATATTACAAATAAATTTAAGTTTATATTTAATGTCATTCAAATATTAAAAATAAAAATTTAATGTTAATTTTGAATTTGTATTTAACGTTAATTTTGTTGAAATAATAATAAAAATGTAATATAATCAATAACTTAAAATACATCAATCTGATAAGTAAGTTAAAGTCTCATCACAAAGTTACAATAATTCAATCTCATAATTCCAAACGAAAGTAAACAACTTAAATTACATAAATCTTATTGGTCCAATCAAAGATAGAAAATTAATCAAATTACATCTAACATAATTCTATAACATGCTTAACACATGTTAGTAACTTCATCAACCTCACTTTTGTAAGAAAATAAAAGAGTGTAGTTTTAGGGCTATGTGGTATAAGGATAATTAAGATATTTAAGAAATAATATTAAACGGGTATCCGTGAGTATGGATATCATCATACCCGTCCCCGCCCCATTTATAAACGGATAAAAAATTATCCCCCATTATCCGCGGATACCCAATTAGCCTATCCATTTATTACTCGTAGCGGATTTTATCCGCAAGTACCCGCGGGTGCGGATGTTTTTGCCATCCCAACGTGTAACCAATACAGGGCATTTTTGCGTACGACTTTTACACTGAAAACTCTCGAAAAAAGATATTTGTTCTTGTGCGGGAAATATCCGTGTGTCAAAATCAAATCGCGAATGTTATCCTGAAGAAAAAAAAACTCAAATCGCGAAGAATTCAGAAAAGAATGGCCAAAAATAAAAGTATGTACTATTCTCTTTGAAAACAAGGCCATTCTTCGTACAAGTTATGCCTTGTGCATAGCCAATTCTTCCAAAAAATACTATATTGTATGGTAGCCGACTAGGTCGAACATCTGAACCCGTGAATATTGAGTTCGAACGCCCGAGCCCGTGCGCCGAATACTGAGCTCGTCGACCACCCTCAAGCGACTAAAACGCGTCGGCGTGGTCGGCCAGGCTTAGCGCATCTGTCAGGATGCTTACGGAGAGTTTAATTACCTTAATGCATCGGATTAGCCCCCTAATTTTCCGGGGCCCAATCCTTAATCACGGTCCAATACGAACACCTATAAATAGAGCCCCAACAAGGTATGTAACCAACTTTTAACTACCGCATTTATTACGCCGAACACTGACTTGAGCGTCGGAGTGTCTATGCAGGCACCCCCTTTACCTTAGACTATTCGGAAGAGAACGAGAAGACCGAGACCCAGGACCCGACTCGCTATAACAAGGATGATTGAAGTGTGTATCCTGACACAGGAACAAATACAAAAATAAAAACTTTAGTTGGGTGATGTTCAATTTTGGAATACCAACTAAACTTGGCCTTGATCAGTAATAGCATTGACTCATGAGAATAAAAGATAAGTTTGATTTACCCTTTTTTTTTTGTAATCTTAAATATTTTTATTTTAATACACATTGTTAACTTTTTGAATGAATTAACTCTGTATACTTTTCTTTTTAATAATTTCTAATGGTTTTCTTTTGATTGCTTAAAAAAAAAGTTTTCTTTTGATTCTTTTATCTACCTTTTAAAGTTTTACTTAAATTTAAAATATCTATACGATACGTGAAATATGGAAATCCATAATAATATCATCTTCCATCATATAGAAATATGGAAATATTTAAGTCGTTTTCGTATCTCCTACTTTCACGATTTCATCCTTTTTTTTTTTTCTTTGTAGTTGGAAATCCATTCGTTACTAAAACATGGGCCTAAACGCTAAGTTTACCAACGATTCCCTGTTATAGGCGTGACCCAATTGTCAGATTCGCTTTATTTCTAAACTACAAGTAACTATATTCATAATCCTGCTGCCACGTATTAAAAAAACAAAAATTAATTTTTTTTACCACAATTCAAACATATACATATATATAAATTATCAATAATTAAAAATAATATTATATCACAATATAAGTTTTATTTATCATAAATTTAAAATATAATTTATGTATTTAAAAATATTTAGGACTTAAATATGTTGTTATTAAAAAAAAATTCATTGAAGAGCCAAATTCATTAAAAAAATGATATAATGGTAAAAAAAAATACAAGTATATGATGGTGGATGGCAAATTGGTAAAAAGCGAGAAAGTGGAGCCCGTTTTGAGGAGAGTGCGTACCCCATTTTGCTTATTTAAAGTAGTAACATAGTAACAGCTATGGCTATGCCATATTGAAATTTGAAACTGAGAAAGTTTTCTGAGAAATTAAGGATCTAGAGAATGGCAGGTGCATCGGAAGAAGGACAAGTCATT